AGAAGTCGAAAACATAAAAAGTTGAAATGGACGATGCCGCCGGACAATCACTGTATGATAAGCTCTGCTGGACAAAGTCCACAGCGAAGCTAAAAATAAAAGGGGTCCTAAAACCGAGCCATGTGGAACCCCATGTAAAATATTAGACATTTGAGACGTGAACCTCGAATCCATAATGTTCAAGTTTCTATAAAAGAATAGAGTGGCTAATAGTGGTGAACGCTAAGTCTATGAATATACCATTAGTTGGGTTACCTCATTCAATTTGCTGTAATAAATAGTTTACTTGCTTAATCAGCAAAGCCATATCTATTGGTGTTTGTAGTGAATTTAAAAATTTTTCAAAGTATGTGATTACCCGGTAGTTTTTTCCCCCTAGTATTTTATTAAAGAAAGATAACATTGAAACTGGTATATAATTGCCAGAGTCTTGTCTATTCTCATTTTGGTAAACATTTACTATGTTTGATCAATTAAAATGAGAAGCTGAAGTTAATATTTTCAACATGAAAATTGAACATTTAGTACAATTTCCCACAAACTCAGACTATCAAATATTAATCTCAATACTTCAATAATGCTTTGAGTGATCTCAGTGAATGTTTAATGCTTTAAAATTCGTATGAGCATTATAGAGGGCAGTCAGTTACATTAAAAAGTATCATGTATATTCGATTTTAAATATCACAAATCAGACTCGCTCAGTTACACATTCGTACAGAATACTAGAATGAACAAATTATGCATTTCAAGCCCAATGGACTTTATTTATTCTTGGATAAATATAGAAAAATATAGTTGTTACAAAACAAGATTATAAAATTCTGATTAAAACTTGCTGACTGCAGTAACAAAGCATCGTTTGCATAACAATTAATTTGTGCATATTGAATCACATTGAATCTGTTACAACCTATAACAATGTCTAAAACTTTACAGACTCGCAGTCAATACGAGATACAACTCTTGAAGAAAAACTTATAATCATTCAATTATAAAATGATATCACCAATATAAACTTTTGTTGACTTAATAGCTGCAATGTAGCAGGTTGGTAAATAGGGACATGATGTAATCCTTACTTGCAACATGTTAAATGTTATTAATGTCGGTCTGTCAACATGCAACACATAGACCAATATCTGCTGTCAACAAAAGTTACAGTGATCATAGGCCCCAAGAAAGACAGGTGTTAACAAAAGTCTGTAACTGTGTGTGAAATGTCCTTTCAAAAAGTCTCCCTTATTTCTAGTTAGATAGGCAAAATGAACAGAATTTTATTGTTCAATATGCATTGACTACGTATGGAAGAAATTTGGTACTGTAAATTCAAAAGATAACAAGCCAAATACAGTTTACCTTCTGCATGTTTCTATCTAGATATTCATAGTTTTTCAGTAATTGTTACAAATCACTGACTCTTATAACCTGTAAATAATGTCTGTATTCCTATTTCTCCCTTCCTCTGGTACAAATTCACGAAACATCATTTGAATATTGTTATACTATTTCCTAATAAGTAGACTGTCCAGCAGTCCTAGTAATCAAACTATAACTTGTGTTAATCATAAATGTATAATTCATTTTGGGTAGATAAAGAAATGTGATTGTAAAGCTCAGTTTCTCGAATACAAATCAAAATGCATGCTTCCTTGGAACACTTACACTCTGTTTCATGAACTGCATCATAGGTAAAGTTTGCGACAGTTGTTGGCAGACGTCAGTAGTTGGCAACAAACTTGAAAATGTAATTTTCATAATATTTTCCTCCTAGTAAGGCAAGTTTTCTTTCCCTAACCTTTCCAATAAAACTAGAAACATTTGTATTGCATACCATGGAATGTGCAGACCCCACAAGTTTAAAAGTCACATGATCATCACTGAATCTGACAGGCTGTATTCGAGATACTGAGAATTCAATGAGCCAAAGTAATAGCAGCGACTGAAATGACAATAGATTTAACTACCTATAAGAAGAAGATAGAGTTCTTAAGAGCCCCTCACCCCTAACTGTAACACTCAAGCCCCCCCCAATGTAATTCATTATGCCCCTAAAAATAATTGCAGGTGACCCAATAAGGGGTATATACAATGAAGAGGTACTGGAGGGGCAGGGTTAGGATTATGGGTGAGGGGGCTCTAAGACACGCTTACCTAAGAAGCATTAGGCTTATACTTCATGCTCTCATTCATTAAATTCAAATAGCTGATCATATCAACATCTTCCTTACTATTTCAACCAATTCATGGTTGTAGAAGATGACATGCATCGGATTATATAATGTAAAACAACTCAAAGAAAGTAGGGTATGCAACTTTTGAATAGGATCTCAGTTTAAACTAGGCTTGTCTTTCTTCATGTCAAAACTGTGTTAATGTTAATATTAAAGTATATGACCCAAATACATTTTTGTGAAATTTAGATATGACTGAACAGAAATAAAATGAATAGGTGGTTTGTTTCAAACCTATTATAAAAGGATAACCTGAAGCAGAATTTGGTTGCTCTATACAGGTGTGACATAGTAATCTTAAAATTAATACATACCCTACTTTGTTAAATGCACGTATAAATCTTGGTTATATGTTTGAATATTAAAATAGATGAATTCGGTATGTACAGCTGTAACCGGTGTTTTCCTGAACAAAAAACCATGGATGCAAATTAGATTGACTATGGTGTACTCAACATTACAATTAAAACTTTTGAAATTATGTTTAGAATATAATACTGATAATTTCCTTTTTGGCAAGAATTTTGTGATATATGATGATACAACTCTGGCCTTTCATTCCTAATTATCATAGTCAACAAGGTTCTGAAGCAAGTCAATAATTATTTCTGTGATCCATCTTTGGAATTACAAATCACTGGCCTAGCAATGGTATCAAAATATATAAATTCAGGATATCACCGGAACAAACACATACGGTACCAGTAAACTCAAGTCATATCTTGATTAAATGAATTAAACAAAACAAAGGAAATGTCTCCAGTTCATCAAGTGCAACATGTTCCTTTCCAAACATCTATTATTACACCAAGAATCATAACCTAAACTTTTGATGACTGACAATTTTAGGTAATACTGGTATTAAACCAGCTTGTAGTACATACAGCTCAGGGTGTCACACCAAACAGTGATACTCTCAGGACCAAGTTGGAAACACTGCATGTTTTCTCATCCATACATGTACAGCAGTATATCATTCAATCAATGAATAGATAAGTAGTAAGATAATTCAGCAACAAAAACTGGTTTTCAAGTGTGTTGCTGTGAACAGTGAATTCAAATGAGAGTATCATTGCCTGGGTATAATATATGGCTATGAATGTATGTGCATTTCATTCAATATGGTATGTACTTCATATATAAAACACACTGGATGAAATAAAATTTACTTGGAAAAATTTGTCTGGGTTAAAATCATTGAAAAAAAACACAATTTTTTTCTCAGAAGTTTTGTTTAAAAACTTTTAGTGATAAAGACAGTGATGTTAAGTATAACTGCAATAAAATGTTTGGTGACAATATAAAGGTTATCACTTTACTGAAATCCAAATATGTTGTTTAATTAAGAAAGGTTATGATGGTTTGTCTCGATATGTTGCAAGCATGAAACACATTGCATGACAGGAATTAGGTGAAAAAAAATTAGTAAATTAGTAAAAACATCTTCAAGATAGATGCATACTGTTTCTGATCTCCTAAACTATTTGTAACTCTGTAGTAGGAAGATCTATTAAAGTTATATTTGGATTAAAAGAATTAAACAAAACAAAAGAGTTGCAACATGTTCCTTTCCAAACATCCTGCACTATCCACTATAACTAGTCTAGGTGTGAACTATTTGTAACTCTGTAGGAAGATCTAAATTATATCTGGATTACAACATGTTCCTTTCCAAACATTCTGCATAATCCACTATCACTAGGTGTGAACTATTTGTAACTCTGTAGGAAGATCTAAATTATATCTGGATTGCAACATGTTCCTTTCCAAACATTCAAAATAATCCACTATCACTAGGAGTCAACTATTTGTAACTCTGTAGGAAGATCTAAATTATATCCGGATTGCAACATGTTCCTTTCCAAACATTCTGCATAATCCACTATCACTAGTTTAGGAGTGAACTATTTGTAACTCTGTAGGAATATCCAAGTTAGATTAGCTCATTATAAAGTAAATACTTATTCTGTAATATAGCATGCCAGCTGCAAACAAATGTGAGTACTGTCATTACAACACATTAAACACATGACTATGTCATGTGATATATAATTTTTTTTTTATAGAATTACCAAATATATAATTATTATACTTCATTCTTTTCAATATATATAGGCACAGTACCCTCTCATAACCTTTTTTTAAAATGTATTAAAAATCTTATTCTGGTCAACTTGTTGCATAGAAATTTGAAAAAAAAAAGTTTACAGTACATCAAATTGGCACATTGCATACTATATCCAAGACCAGTTCATATTTGTTCAATTTATACAATTTTGAGGTACTAGTGGGGGGATTCAGTTTGAATTTTGATAGAATCTTCAATCCCTTAAAAAAACATTCATTTTATCATACAATACTATGTCCAAGCTAATCATGGCAGTTTTTTAGTAATTAAAAACACAATTTGCATTATCTATGCAAAAAATAATAATCATTTTTTCAAAAATTCAATATTTATGTGGTTGATTCTTTCTTTTTATGGGGACTTTATTTACTAATTATTCAAAATGTTATGTTTTACCATACAATATATTTATATATATATACATTCATCATTGTATGTACATCTTTGTTGAAATATAATCAACCATTCATTCACAGCTTCAAATGAATCGATTGAAACTCATTATATACCTTCTCCAGTAAGTACAGGGTGAGGTGCCTCTATTAATCTACATATAAAGGCATAGCAATTTTTTTTTTTTTTTTAAACTGACACAAATTTGGATTATTTCTGGATATAAATGAAATGAAAAAGCTCTATAAAAAAATGTAATTAAAAAACTGTTTGAATATCATATCAAAGGTGCAGTAACTCGTGTCATTCTTATCAGACTGCATCCCTTACTGGTCCAGAAACTTCAGTTTAGCACCGGCCCAGATAATAGTGATAAATGGAAAAATGTTCTTTTTTGTTTCTGCAAAAGTATTGAAAATTATTGAAAGGTTGAAAAAAAGTAAATTGTTATTGATGTGAATCTTGCTTATGGGTACAAATTTTCTTTTATGGTCTGATTATTAAAATTTTTTATAAAAGATATTAACATTTTTCTGGAATACACTTTCATTCCATACATTTGTACTCCCTGAAAAAAGAAACAGGCGTCAAATACCATGCTGATTAGATAGCTCTTTCTGTAAACCTAAAAAAAAAGATTAAATGCTTTGCTCCCTTCTATTCTTTATAGTCAAAACACTACATATCAAAGCCTAGTATTACAAGGTCTGACAGAAATTGCAGAAATCTGCTTCTAAATAGGGCTACATTGCTGAAGATTGACAAATATTGATTGAATATACTGCATGGAATGAAACCTGGCTAATTACAGCAAATATTTGGTATGAAAAGCATTTTATATACTTCTTGTATGGCGTTGTGAATGAAACACAGAAGCATAGATTCATCAAACTGCATCGTTGACTTTGTAACAATTTGTGCAGTCAAAGGTCAACCAATCATCCAGTATCTGTAAGAAGAAAAAAAAATACTGATTTTAACATGATACAATTATATTACTACAGTAGTATAAAAACATGAATTAATGAAATGAAATAATATTATAGTAATATCAGTGGTATGTGTTATGTGTGGTTGACCCACAGTTGCCAACAAATCCTAGACTCCAGCATTCTGGAAGTGAAATGTTCAGTTACAAAACAAATTTCAATATTTTTTTTCCAGATTTGTATGGCCTAGTTAATTTTGAAGAGTTGTTTTATTTCAAATCTCCCAAGTTTTCCTGAACTTAATGTGTTAACTGACAACGTCCCAATTATATATCTGGTCATTATATTTGTAGCAGTTGCCAACAGAGGGCGCACTCACAGGGATATTTTGATAGATGTTAAAATGAGTAACTTTTGTTATTGGAAGATCATTTTATATCAATTTTAACATTGATATTTTATTTTTGTAGATAACAAAAATTGAAATTGAAAAAACTTTCGGGTATTAATTAGATCTTTAAAAATATTGCCAATGTATTAAGTTGAAAACAAAAATCACCCAGTTGCAACAATAAAATTCTGAACAAGTTTGTTGATATGATGAGAGACCAAGTGTACATTGTGATGTGCCAATTAGTATTAACCTGATTCCAAATAAATGACAGTTCAGTGCGTTGGCCAACAGTATTAGTATTCAAATGTAGGTATATTAGTCTAGTGAAGAAAGTCTCTAGTTTACCACCAATAAGTACAAATGAACCACATAGGCTTGGAATGGGGCGAGTGTTGGGATGTATTTGACTGGTATATAATAATACGAGAACCCTTGAAATCCACTGAAATTTGGCACAAGATGATGTACATGACATAATGCATGTTACTTTTATGCTCAAGAATATGTTTGCATTATTTTCGTCTAGATGATTCCATTATTATAAGAAATGATATTTGAAACATGAACTCTAGATCTATGTTTAAACTAGATTGTACCGTAGATTCTTGATGTTTTTTTTAAGAAAACCAACCTGAATTGCATTCAAGATGGTATACTGCCCCCTATCATCAAGTAACACAAATGTTTGGATGACCTGTCCACCTTTAGGGACCTTGTCACCTTGTCACCTCAGCTGCAAAAACTGACATCCATTGAGACATGAATGGTACTGGCCTTTTATGTCTGCTATTATTGATTGCATGGATTGAAAAGACTTACATCAATGTGTCTGGGATTCAATCTCCAAGAGGTGAAAATGTATGCACCACATAAGGAAATAAGTTTGATTGTTTTGCTGATTTAAATATTATTAAATATATATTTTGCTAGTGACAATATTAGCCTCACAAAAAATATTATGTCAGTGTTATCAAAAGGGAAGTCAATGTGGCAATAAACTGCATAAGCGTACTGAATGCGATGTTAAGACTACTAAAGACTACATTAAGATTACTACTAAAAATTTGTATGATTTAATAGCATCTGTAAAGATGATACAAACAACAGAATCAACAAAGTAAAGGTGTCTTTCATCAGGCTCAAGAAAATTTGAAACACTGGCAAGGTTCCATTAATAATCAAGCTAAGACTGTCCAAATCACCTGGCCTAATTTTATGGATGTGAGACATGGTAAATCAATGAAAGTTACAAGTGGCTGGACACATTTCAATTCAAATGTCTGAGGAAGATAATCAAAATCAGATGGGCCATATGTTGTATCTAATAGTGACGTACTCAAGAAAACAAACATGAAACAGATCAGCAATGAAGTCAAATGCAAGAGATAGAAATGAATTCGAGGATAACTGCTATTGCATTACAGCCCTCACAGGGGGCACCAAACAGAAGTAAATTAGGGTGCCCTGAAACAACATGGAGGTGACTGGAAGAGAAGGAAAGGAAGTTATTTCGATGGACAGCCAAGCCAATTGCCAAAAACAGGGTGCATTGGAGAGAGATCACCATAATAGATAGATAGTAAAGATGATATCTTGTAAAATTCAATGTTAGCTTGAAGAACCTACTGAAATGTTTATTAGAATTTTTTTTTATGATTTTCATTGAGTGTCAAAAATTATTCTCTTGTGAGACTAAGATGCTTTTCAGTAATTTCTAAATCACAATCAAGCTATCTATGAAAGTAAGGAGGGAAAGTATTTTATTTATTAAATAAATGCATTTTTTTGTCTTTATGTACTCCCTATTAGAATAGAACTTTTAATAGAGCTAATACAGTAATCAAAATTTTGAGTGAGTACGCCCTCTCAATGTAACCTCTGTTGACATGTGCTTCACCATGATTTATTATTATAGTCACCACTTTTCATTTAGAAGTGAGGTATAGACTTCTTGTTTATTTGTATTGACTGGATCACCAAGGTGCTTGTTGATATTTGGCTGATATCCAAAAGTAAAATTGCTCCTATAAAGATACCACTCTGTGTGTGGTATTACGTCTTTCATCATAAATTTGTCAATTGTATTGACAATACTGAAAAATTTACACCAAATTTTAAATAGTGCATTTAATATACAATTTGAATACATGTAGATTATTTTTTTTATATTGAATGTACAATAGTGTAAATACATGTGACAACTTTAATGCATATTATATACCAAAATCAACATTTCTTTTTCAGTACATCTGGATAATTTTTTTTATTCATGTATATTGCTTTGATTTACCAGTCTCAAAAAATTATGTTGTAGACAAAGTACTGTTCATGGACATGCTTAAGGCTCTTAAAATTTTGTTTTAGAAGTAAATGTTTAAATACTAATGTTGGTTATATTTATGAAATAGGTAAACCAAAATATTACAGAAGCATTTTAGTCAGAGATTACATATTTTTTATTATAAACATGTATTATTGTTACTTATAGATGTATATAACGTAATATAAGTTTTCACACAAATTTTGTGAGTGCGCCCTCACATAGATCTCTTTCATATGCTTCTGTTTAAGTGATGCTATAAATAAACCTGGGTCAGCCTCAATAAATCATCCATACTGAACATGTTTCTTTCTGTTTATCTGGATAGCCATGGTAGCACCAATGAGTGTCTGATATCCAACAACAAAGACACAATTTATATGTTTATTACTAGACCGTGTGTGGTAAAATTCATGATTTCACCATAAATTTGTTGGTATTTGGAGCATGTTAAATAGCACAAAAAAAAAGCTGTTCATCATGGTGTGTCAATAAAATTCGTTTACACTCATTTAAATATGAATAAATGGAATGAGGAAGTTGACCTCAGTGCTGGCCTCAGATAAGCAGACACAATAAAATGCTTTAACCTGAACCTAAGCATACCCATATAAGGAGTTGTTTTGATATCATACAGAGCAGACCATGCCAGGATACCACCACTAGAGGGGGTAAACACTATTTCCCTATGTCGTTGTCTGGGTGTGTCATAAAAATAAAACACAGTCAGCTGCTTTCATGTCTGCGTTTGTAACAATCATGGCGACCATGTCATATTTTGCTATGACACATCTAAATTCACTAAATTTCATCAGAATTATTTGCATTGTCCACGTCATATGTTTTAAAAATGATTTTGATAAGAGAAATGTTCTTGTAATATTTCATACAAAATTTGAATAATATAAAATTATTAAATCAAGTCTATAGTTAATATTATTTGTATTATTATTGGCTGAAATACACACCTGATACTTTTCTCATTAACACCTGTAGAAAAACCCTAGTGCCCCATCACCCCTGTCTAGCATGCTGTCATTGAAACATATTACGCTCACGTGAAACAATTTATTTCATATTTTCAGGAGGATGTCACTTGTATATGAATATATCACTTCAATTTGAATGCATAATGCAGATATTTTTTTCATCTATTCATGGGGAGAATGAAAACACAATATAATTCTAAACAATTAATAAATAAAAAAAATAAACTACAAATGGAATAGTATCTAATGAAATATTATAGTATTATTTCTGCAGATAAGTGAATCAGTGTAACACACCCAGATACATATTACTTGCGAACAATCATTATTAATGTTTCAACGTACGACCTTTTTTTAACTCCCCCTAAGACAGACATCACGTCATTTTCTATGAATGAAAATCACATTTTCTGTATTTTAATGGAAGGCTTGAAGTCAGGTATTCTGAGGGAATCCTGAATTACTGAATCTCTAGTAATCTATTGTCTTGTTTTACATTTGCTGTTTGCAGTGTTATTTAACGGCAAGCATGCCTACAAAATTCAATGGGTAATGTAGTTCTAATGTAGAAAACGGTTATGTAGTTCTAGAATAGGTAATTTTTGTCACAGAATACTACTATTATTGAGCTCTGAATGAATTCTGTGGATTTTTAGTTCGTCACACCATTGTCCCAGAGATTGTTTATGGATTGAGTCATACTGACAAGTATAAATAATTTAATACAAATTTGCTGCTCATAAATTTAGCAATCAGGTGGTTGCTGAAATTGTCTGTTGCTGTGGGTAAATAAACATTATTTTCACTCGTTTACTAAAATGATAATGTGGTTGAAATAAACAAAAAATTATTCCAGAAAGGTATTCTACGTATGTCAAAATCATGAGTCATGTCTTATGTATGTTAATAAAGTGTATTTTGATTGAGATAGAATCCCCTTCCCCATTTTTACGTGTGATTCTAAATAAAAGTTCTCTACTGCAAAGCCAAACTAAAATTTTGAGATGTATCTCCAAGAGGTTGTGATCTCTAACCCTTTAGATACCAAAAATATTACAAAACTACCTATTTTTTTTATATCTTTTTAAATACTTTAACCGAAACCAAAAGAAAATTATGTCCATTTGGTTAAAAATTAAAATTAAAATTTTAAGCCAAAACTTCTAAAATTGTCTTGGACTGGTTGAAAAAGTGATGGATATATTTGACTTTTTTTGAAGTGCACCAGGGTTTTCAGGTGAGACATCTAATCAACTCCTTCATGAATTTCAAGTCCTGCATTCAAAGTAAACTGCTCATTCAGCAATATAAATTAGACTGATACATTAATATGCCCAGACCACCATAGTGCTAAGTTTTGGACCTTCTGTCCTGAGTGCATTTCAAAAAACTTGTACTACCAATGTACAGTAACTGCTTCCTCTAATGTCCACACTTTGTAATAACCGAGTATTCCAGACCTTTATTTTCAGGGATATTTGCCTGATGATCTTAGAGATGAATAAATATACAATGTGAACGCGACAATGCACAAGCCCAGGTCGACATCATGTCGAGCAAGGATCTTTACACAGCAGTTAATCATACAAAAACATGACAGCTTTACACCAACTGTCAAGAAACAAACTAAAGATATAATGGCACCTATGTTATCCAGCAATCACATGCCAAGCTTATCTTATTTTTTCATCTAATTTAATAAAGGTAGCATTGAACATTTTCAACATCCAATGCTATATATTTGACTAAATTATGAGTCTAGATTATGTTCACTCAGTTTTAAATATTTGTGCAGCACATTGGTAAATAATTTCAATTGTTGGTGTGGTAGGGGTAAAATACAAAATCTATGATATGCAAGCATATCAAAAATTTGAACTAAAACCTGGTACTTCCCATGATAAGCCTGGTGAGAAAACCACTACAATACAAATAAGGGGGGAGAAGGGTTGAAACAATTCAGCATATAAATTTATGCCTAGAAAACTATACTATATGGTAAATTATTCACCATTCCCACTGACAAAATGATGAGTTTATTCCCACCAGTTTATTAAAATCGCAAAGGTTGTCACCTGCACAGACACAGGAATTGAGTCCTAGGTGACTGATAAAAACACATGCTAAAAACACAAAAGTTCATGAGTAGACGCTTGTTTGTAAACAATGACATGTTCTGTCGTCTGCTGTATGTGTAGGTGACAACTCCTTTTAAAATATGAAGTATTAAATAATATTAATAACTGAATACAACCCTGAAAAGAGAAATGTGCCAAAAGTAGCTTAGTCAAGCATGGGCACGAAGTCAGACAAATATGATAGCAAGCTAGAATGAAATGAAATAAAAAAAAGTATGAGAAAGTGTCAAGCTTACCAGTATCTAGGATTTTCGTAGTCTCTCTGTCATTGCAAAATCCACTGCAGCATATTGAACATCATCTTCTTGTGGTGGTGGTGGTGGCTTTGGTTTTGGCTGGATACCTGGTTTGGCTGGCTTCTTTAAATCTAGTTCATCCAAGTCAGCATATACTATTCCATCGTTTGGTACAGCTTTCGCCTAGGATGTTATGAAACAAATTCAAACAAAAAATGTTTTAAAAGATATACCTTTTTATTTTGTTCAAAAATTCTTGATAATCTCTAGCCCTTCACTGGGCCAGTCTCCCCCTTTAGTTAATGTTCACATGATTTAGGGACGATGTCAAAAGATCGATTTCGGATAAAAAACTGATTTGCTTTAGTTTGGGGGTGGGGGGTTTTGACCTCAAAAAGTTTCCATCCTACAAAGGCGATTTTATTTTTTAATGAAGTCAAAAAAATCAAAAAGTATTTGTAATTCGTTTTTTTTTTTCTATCCAATCATGGACAGAAATAACAGAAAATGAAAAAAACAAACATCCAAGATGAGAAAATGGTTTGGTCTGAGTGTAAATATGTGCGTCAAATGAGGTGCATTTGTAAAGTCTTTTTACACCCACCCGACAACCAACTGCTATGCCATACTTCTGTCTGATTATCAATTTGTATTTAATGGTGAATATAGTCTGACGCCATGATCAATATTTATCAATTAAGTTTCAGTGGGGGGTGGGGGGTTTTTGAAAAAAACTAAAGGAATTAAGTTTTTTATCCGACATTGATCTTTTGACGTCGTCCCTTAATAGCTCTGCTGGTATTGAAGCAGAAATGTGCCATGAAGTACTTTCACAAAATTGGAAAGTTACCAAGTCGCTAGTACTGGTGTAAAGTGTGAAAACAGGAGTTTTGAAGGTTTAATTTTGTAGAAATGGACAATTTCATTTGCCAGTAAATAAGATGGTTCATCGTCATGTATGAGTACTGTTTGTAGCATCATCCCTACATCCATAATAGCCTTTAATAGAAATTCAAGCACTAGTTTGGTGAGGTGGGGATAATATAATGCTTCTATTAATGAAATTATATACCATACATAATACTGAAATTGCTTTAGTAGAAGCACATTGCCAATTGGAATTTATTTCATGTATGCTGGGTTATTAAAATATGGCATAATATTCTGTGACATAGCACACTATTCTGTTGTTTATGTAAAGCTACTAATAGAGAAAATACATACAAGAAATAAATTGACCAGCTCATGTCAGAACACGAGATGACATTTTGATGAGAGCATCTAACACAATAAATTAATTATTATGTCCATGAAAAATATATGATGTTTTGTATACATTGCTAAGCAACTTATTGGCTTCACTTTTCAAGCAAAAAAGATGAATCACTTCAATTGTTCTACTCAAAAATAGCTATCGGCTAATTCGCTGCCTAATTCACTGGCTATGCAATTCCTTTATTTCTGAAAATTAAGTGTGATGGCTTTGCTAGGTCTTTAATAGTTCAGAAAGTCAAGCGCTAGTCCATTGAGGTGGGGGTAATATGCTATGACTCAAACACAATACTGTATTCGTAAATAGTAGAAGCACATCTCCAATTGAAGCAACTAAAATTCAAATTTAATCCATGTATGCCGGTTTATTAAAATATGGCTTTCTGTTTTTATGCACAGCTACTAATGGAGAAAATATAAATCACATTACAATAGACCAGCTCATGTCAGAGCATGACATGGAATTTTGATGAGAGCATCTGACACAAACTAATTATTATGTTCACCTTCATGAAATATATATGATGTTTTGTATACATTGCTAAGCAACTCATCGGCTTTACTTTTCAAGCAAAAAAGATGGATTACTTCAATTGTGCTACTCAAAAATAGCCGCCGAGTAGAATGACTAATTCACTGACTATGCAATTCCTTTATTTCTGAAAATTAGGTGCAATGGCTTTCCCAGGTAATTTTGTTCCTGCCTTGCACCAACATTCTTCTGCTCAATTTTTCTAAAATTCTGATAAAAAAGAAAAAAAAATCCTGACATGCATGGCCAACAGCAAAATAAATATTTTTGGAAGATAAAAGCTGACTACAAAATATTTACTTCATGACTCAGACAGGGTGTGGCACTGTTGCCTACAGTAAATCATGGGTGTGTCTTATATACATATACATATATTGGGAAATTATATCTACTGGTAGCCTTTGCCAACTGTTTATCAATTACACTGAATTTAATCTGATCAAAATATTTACTAGTAGACTGCATAATATCTGAGCAATCAGTCTATAATAATTTACAGTTCATAAACAAGTTTGCAATGACTACTAGACGCTCAAGGTTTCCTCCTTTAAAAGCAAATTATAAGAGGATAGAGTCTTAGAGTGAATACTTGGCAGATCTGAGATCTTCAGAAAGACTTATCAACAAATGTTGATACAAGACACAGTATGCTCAATTTATACTGCATAATATTAAATACAGTGAAATACAAAAGAACTAGAGAATGATATAAGATATGTACCGGTACCCTGGTACTTGCTATGTACAGCAATGTTAAGATGTATTCTCTAAGGGAAAGGTGAACATAAGGGTAAATCAATAGAAACACAAAGGGGGGTACAGCAGAGCAAAATATTTTTCTATTTTGATCAAAACTGTTTTTTCCTGAATTGAATGATGTTTGGTCAGTGCCGTTTATTTTTTATCTGGAATTTTTGAACATGATTTTATGTCTATTGGTTCAGTTTTAATTATAAATTGATGTAAAAATGTACTGTGTAGTTCAGTTGGTTAAATGCATTGTATTTAATTTATTAAAAACATAATGATAATAGATTTTTTCTCTCACAATATTTGACAGAAATTTTTCACCTGGACTGTGTGGATAGCAAGCTGTTTCATGTTTTAGAAATATCACCTTTGTTCTCATGTGTTAGACAAGTCATGTTAACCTTCAGAGTCGACACCAGCCATAATATTAGACACTACTGTAGAATACTTTATTTTCGCTTGAAATTTATTTTCGCTATTTTCGCTAGAGGGACGATCCCATGAAAATAAAATCCAGCGAATATACTTTTTTTCCTATATTTAACATTAAACTCATCAAAAATCAGTGAAAATAAATTCCATACAAAACGCCCAAAAAGCCTTTTCAGCGAAAATAAATTCCAGCGAAAATAAAGTATTCCACAGTATGTGCTAAAACTTAAATTAAACAGCTGTCAAACTTGCTGTTGGTAAGTTGTTGGCTCTATATAGCATAGAAACCTATCGACACTATGTTTATTTTCCGTCTGGTGTCTATCCTATACATAGCTCATTAAAATCTAACTTACTATAAACTTCTTGTCGCTTTGACTCACATTAATTTTATATAATAAAATTATAAAACTATGCTGTGACATTAATTGACTTTGAAGTCATATAGCTTTATTTTCAATCTCATTTTTCTGCTATTGTTTTTTATAAATGAAATGATGTACAGTCACCATTCTATGCCACAATACAAATAAATAAATTCATGTACAACTATTTATATTTTTACATGCTTTTCAAAGACACTAATAAATATAAAATCTTATTAGATGAACTCATCCCCTCCTGTTATAAACATTCTACAAATTTAAGTTCAAGTGTATTTTAGACACAATAAAATTGTTGACTGGAACTAATTTTGTATTGCCCCACTCTACTACTAAACACCATGGAATGTGGTACACAATACAGATCAACTCAAAGGTCATTTATGAATGAAGTGAAGACTGGCTACTTAGGTTCATGTCCTCAAAACCTTTGATATGCAAATTAAATTTTACAACTTGGACCTTCCTTGAGAGCAAAATGATCAATACCGCCATCACAGTTAGTTTTATGTATATGCTGACATCATCTGCCAAAATGCAATGATGACTCATACCTTGTTTTCCCAGGAACTCATGAATTATTCATATTTTCCTAATTTGCATGCTAGGGGGTTCCCCGTTTTTTTCCCTTAGACTTATTTATATGCAGACACATTGTTAGCATAGAAACTGCTTTCAATGGCTGTACTTTGACCTCAATTCATGACAAGTGTCTTCAGCTGCTTGCATTTGTGACTATAATCTAAAACGGGGTTGTTGTTTTCCACTATTCGCACCACTAAAAATCTATAAATCCAACATGGCGGAGTCTCATGTTTAAACTTGCACACAACACACAGAATATCTATGTTCTATCTGAATGCATTCCTCCATATTATTATCTTGCATGTTAATGGCAAATAGTTTTAATTATAAATTTTGTGGTAACAAATGCTTTAATATCAAAACAAAAATTTCTGTACATAAACATGCTTAACACGTTGAACGCCAAAGTTAACAAAATTTCGAAAAATGCATAAAAATTGACAAAATGTTGCACAAGAATTTTGGCGCTCAAATTAATTTCTAATATAATCCCTTTCATGGATAGAGATCATCTCGAGCATGTGCTGAGTCATGACTTTCTGAATGCTGGGCTCAGAAAAGATTGGTTGTTGAAGAAAAAAATATCAAAAAAAATAATAGCAGAAGTTTATATAACTTGAAAAAAAAAAATGAAAATACCAGCTGTATTTACAAAGTCTATTTCCATCATGTTTTACTGGTGACCTTTCGTCCTACTTCATTCAAGTAATCCTTTTGCAAGCTATGGGATTAACTCAGTTTCCAGACACATGTTAAAAACCTTTATGGATTTGGTTACTATATTATGTCCAGTACTTTAAATTGAATTAACAGTGGTGATATAAATTGCCTAGACACCTTCTTAACGTAGTGCAAATGTCCTAGTGTCTCCGTGGTTGCTAAGGTCATGAAATGCAAACAATTGGTCTGTACTGCAAAATAGCAAGTAGTATTTATTGTCATTTAGTGTTATAGATTAGAGAAGTTGATAAAATGAATGCACCCCCACACTGGGTGGGGATGGGTGCACCAGTGTAGTGAGGTCAAACTGTTTGTCCTTCAGTTGCCATGGTCACCAAGATCACAACACTGCAAGATATTGCAAACACCACCACTAAATTTCTACATGGAAATCATGGGTTTCTTCCTGTTACTAAATATATCATGATTTATATGCACGCTCTATATTAGAAGGAAGTTACCAGTAGCCCCTATTCTTTGTTGTCATAGTCACCAAGACTACAACTTGC